TAACTAGCTTAAGTCACTACTTCTAAGTCAGTCTAAGTTATGCGCCTAATAAATGCATTACTAAAACGAATAAAATTATTTGAACAAAAAAAAACTTACCAACTAAATACAAAAATCTGATTGAAAAAAAAAAAACAAAAACAAAAACAAACAAAACAAATAATATAAATCATTTTTGAACAAGATTTGGACTTATCTGTGTTTCTTTATCCTTCCCACTTCTTTTTGCATATCGAAACGAATTATAGCGAAGCAGCTGTCTCCAGTTTTCCTTATTGCACAGAATCTAGTTTAAATTTTTCAACATCAGCAACGGCATACAGCGAGGACGATGCTGAATATGCCACTGGAAGACGTAATAAGACATCGAGGGTAAATATTACAATTTAAGAGCGACCCAAAACTCGCTATCATTTCCAAATTCTCTGAATCAAGTTAATCGAAAATAAATCGAAAGTAATCGAAAAAAATCGAAAACAAATATGAAAACGACTCTGGCAAACGATCAAAGGATCAAAAGAGCATTAGAGCAGCGCCCGGATGATGACCACGCCCACTAGCTATCACACACTCTCACCCACCACCACCAACTACACCCCACACACACGAGCAATGACCTTGAGCCATGACGCCGCCGCCATCGACGCAGCCGCCACTTTTGACCCTTTTTTTTATTGTTAGAAAAAAATTAACAAAAAATTTATGAACATACAATAAAGTGAACCAAAAAAAAAATGAGAACCGAAATTAGCGAAAATAAAATGAAACAAAATAGCAAAAGAAAAACGCCTCTCAGCAGAAAAATCATTACTTAGGCTAGGGGTCTGAAAAGCCCAAAAAAATTATTATACCCATAAGTGGGTTCTCAACTAGGATCGCTATCAAGCAATATTAACCAGATCGTCTTTTACAACCTCTGCCCACAGCAAGATCCTCTATCCCATCGAATTATCGAGAAACGGCGGCGAGATCGCATGAACTCCTGCCTGGCGGACCTTTCCCGCCTCATCCCGCCGCAGTACCAGCGAAAGGGGCGTGGCCGCATCGAGAAGACGGAGATCATCGAGATGGCCATCAGGCACCTGAAGCATCTGCAGAACGAGTGCCAGCAGAAGGAGAGCGACTACCGGAGTGGCTACATGGACTGCATGAAGGAGGCGGCCAAGTTCCTCTACGACGTCCACATGCAGGACTTTTGCCATCGCCTGCTGGGTCGCCTCCAGGAGCACATCGATGAGATGTTCAAGAGTGAGTATATCATCTATGGGGTAGATCGACTTTGGGATAAGAAAATAAGATTTGAAGACTTCTTGTATAAGTTATTAAACCCTATCGATCTATCCTATAAATTATTCCTTTTTAACGAAACTCAATCACTTACTAATCAACGATTATTACTCCACAGCGGACTGCTACAAGTCGACGCGCAGCTGCCACATGCCGGACAATGTGAGTGCCTCCAGCGGCAGTCCTCACCAGGCCTACCACCCACCGCTGTGCCACCTGCGCGACATGCTGGCCACCTCGGCCTCGGATGTGGAGCACAGTCAGGACCACAACGATGTCAAGGATCTGAGTTTCCGCAACCATCTCAACCAGCTGCAACGGAGTCAGCAGGCGGCGGCAGCGGCAGCAGCAGCAGCAGCGGCCGCAGCAGCAGTTGCAGTGGCCAATGGAAGTTCGCCGGCGTCTAGTGCTGGACTGGATTCCAAGGTCCCGTTGACCAATGGTGGTGGCGCCAATGGTGGAGCAGCGCCCGCCGGCGACAATGTGCCCAGTAATTCCACGAGCAGTGGAGCTGTTGCAATGGCGGGCGGAAACAGTAGCAACAGCAGCGGCAGCAACAGCAGCAATGCGGCTAGCTCCACCACCTGTCCGCCGGCCGGAGGCAGCTGTCCGCCCAAGAGCACGCCCCTGGCGGCCCATCAGCAGCCCCACCAGGCGCCGGTGATCACGTCCACGGCCCCGCATCATCTGCATCATCACCACACGGACAGCAGTCACCACGACTTTGAGTCATCGCGGGAGCCGATCCTTCACACCGACACCTCCAACATGCACTCGCCTCCACCGAGGGATCTGCTGCTGCAGCAGCATCCCCACCTGGCCCACAGCCACCACACCCAGGACAGCCTGATGTCCGTGAGGATGCGCAACTATTCGGAATCCTCGCACGAGGTGGAGCACAACAACAACTATAAGTACAAGAACCACATAAAGGAGCGCTTCGTCCACGAGCTCCACGACGAGGAGACGAGCAGCGAGCATTGTCCGGTGGCCGCGCACCTGCAGAGCGATCACTCCCACCTGCAGGCCCTGTCGGAGCACTCGAAGGATGGCACCGAACCGGAAATAGCACCCATCATGGCCAAAAAGCGGAAGTTGGCCGAGGCGGCGGCCAATGGGGAGATACCCCTGGAGGTGCACACCGAATCGAGTAACGCGGGAGCGGGGAATCCCTCCAATCGGCTGGACAAACCCTCACCCTCGTTCAACTTCAGCGACATCAAGGACATCAAGTCGGAGCTGCACAACGGCAACTCCAATTCCAGTCCACTGTTGGCCAAATTGAGTGTGGCAGCGGCTGCCGGCGGCCAATTGAGTACTCCGAGCAGCACTACCGCACCACTGCCTCCGCGGCACTCCTTCACGGTGCCCATATTCGCGCTCCACGGACAGGGGAACTACTATGTGCCCCTGAATGTGGACTACAATGCACTGGTGCCCTTCCTTAATGGAATGGATCTGCTGGAGAAGAGCTACTCCAGTATGCCGGTGGTGCATCCCATCAATATCAATGTGAACTTTATGCCCAGTTCTCCGTCGGCATCGCTTTTGGCCGCTGCTGCAGCCGCCGCCGTGGCCGTTGGGAAGCAACAACAGCAACAGCAACAGTCCGTGGTGGCCGTCGGCTCGGGACTTCCCCTGTCCACCAACTCGGCGGCGGCCCAGGCAGCTGCTGTGGCCGCGGCGGCGGTGGCCAAGGCCAAACTGGAGCAGGCAATGAATCAGAGTTGGTAAAAATTATTAAAAAATCGGGCTACGGGTCGACAGATGGAACAACTCTACCTCAGTACTTCTGTGAATAATCATCAAATGATTAATCTCAAAACAAAAACACTAAGCGACATCTGCGCCCAAGTATACCTACAAAAAAGAAAAGAAAATGGCAAGGGAGAAGTAAAAAAGCGAATTCATTGGGGGTGCTTCTAAAATCTCTGGGGGTTTAAGCCATAGCTTAAGGTGTCTTAACTTTTTTTGAGCAAAGGAATTATCAAATTGTGTAGAGATATAGACAAATTTGTCAAACTAACTAGGTGGATCACTATTATAATTTCAATGTACACAGGATAAGACTTAAAAATGTTTACCATAATTTATAATATCAATCTTTAGAAGATATTGTCTATGACCGCCAAAATTAAAAACCCTTTCGGATTCACTTTTTGTGTATAATTCAATACTTTTCTTTAACCAGTTCCATTTGAATTTTTGAATTAAGGAAAACTAATTGCTATTGTTAGAAGGTTAGATTGCATAATAATATATTGCTCACTTGAAGGCACCCAAATAACTGCTTTAAATTCTCTAGAGATTTCAAAAGTACAACGCTGTATTTGTTAAAATCACAGAGACAGTCAGGAGCAGCCTTAAAGGCTGGGCACCTACTAGAGAAATAATTTCCAATTGTTAAATGTGGTGGAGAAAACAATTAGAGTAGCTAGTTGTTAAATATTTTGAACAAAGCATAAATGTCTATTACAGCGCATGCATTGAATACTACAAAAAAACATATATGTTGTATGCAAGCCAATAGAACGTATATGATGCCAAGAGTCAGTCCCACGTAAAAAAATCTAATGGATTTTAAAACAAAACTAAATGTGAATTAAATGTATTTTTTAGAGGTTTAACGTTTTTGCAATTTAAATAAGTGTTGTGGTTTCAAATCAGGTAGTCAGATAGCCAAGTGACTCCCGTCAAACATACAAAGTAATCTATATATACAAAACCGATATATTGATAAATATATATATAGTAAACCACTAGTCAGAGAAGTTGAACGAAGACGTAAAAACATACAAACAAAATGGGAGAAAAAACAAATCAACAAATTATTATATTCTATGTGTAAATACTATTAGCAAGCAAATTGTCCTTTGTTTAAGTTTGTATTTTAGTGACAAATTATGTTAAGTTGGTTGGTTAACACGTGAAAAAAACAAAAAAAAATATTCGAAAAAAATCCAAAAACTTTTCTATTCAAGAAATGCACCATGTTTCATTCTCGAAATGCGGTCCTATAGTTATTATTATTATTATTATTATTATTACTACTGTCTAACACCTAAGTTGATTGTTTCTTTGTGTTTTCGTTATTCAACAAGTTAAATGCAATTTCAAAATCTTTCTGTACCCTATTTCCCATTCGAGGCCCTCGATATTTTTAGAGGAACTTAGGAAATGATTTTGTTTTGAAAGCTAAGCTTCGTTGCGGCTAAACTAAAAGTTGATAGCACAAAGATTATTAATGTTTTATGACTCTTATTAATGTGTACGATTACTTTTACTGTACGGTACTGTTAATATAAAACTACGTTACTGTTTAATATATTTTATAAATGTATACAGATGTAATAAAAAATTCAAATTGAAAACGTTCTGTTTTATTTTAGGGGAGATAAATTTAAATTTAGTCAAATATTAATGGTTCATTCACGTGACGTCAAACCAAATTCAATTCAATTCATTATTCATTATTTATTTAAATTTAGTCAAATATTAATGGTTCATTCACGTGACGTCAAACCAAATTCAATTCAATTCATTATTCATTATGATCACTATTATTATTCGATACGCGGTTTTTTTTACATAACTTTTTATCGCAGCACTTCGAAAGAGTTGTTCTTGCAACTTTTTAGGGATTGGAAAAAGGTTATTTGCATACATTTTAAATATTGTAAGGAACAAAAATAATGTTTGATAAGAGGCAAGCTAAGTGCCTGTTAGTTATCGTTTATTATGAGTCGAGCTGTTGCTCTTAAAAGTCAGTCGTGCGGAGAACATACCTATCAAAATAATTTTAATCCCAATGGAAAAACTCATTTTAATTTACTTACTCTTAAGTGTCCTTTTGATAAGTGTACAGTCTGGAGATATTCCAAACTGTAATTACTTTGATACGGTTAAATTAAAGGATAGTCAAAAGTTAGCTAATGGATCCTATAAATACCAGAATATTATTATTCCTGCAAAACTTACTGGTGATTATGACTATGAAATAAACTACGGTGGCGACAGAGATCCGGTCCCCAAACACACCCGAGGCTGTGTGTGCAAATTGAAAAGTTGCATCAGGTTTTGTTGTCATCCGAAAAAGCTAATGGATAGCAATAAGTGCTCCGAAGAAGTAGATGAAAACCTCACTTATGACTATACTCTGGACATAACGCAATTCAATGGATCTGTGATAAGGAAACACAGTTTAAATGACATGGTGGTGCAGCAAGATCTTCCCCTTCCATGCGAGAAACATTACTCACTGGATGCGGAGGGATTCAGAGAAGACATGTGGTCTCTATATGAGGTGACTATAAACGTCTTTTACCAAAAATAAATAGTACACTCAAAATTTACGGATAATTTGTTTACAGAACGGGTCGTTGCTTCGTCACTTTGATAAGCGACATTTAACGAAGCAGGAATTTTGCTTGCAGCCTCAGTTGACGAGTACGGGAAATAACTACAGCCTTATTGTGGCCTTTAACTGCATAAAGAAACCATCTATGAAATTGGCATATGGTAGGTTTAAAAAGGTGTTTGAATATATTTTAGCAGAGTTCTCCATTCCAGTCAAGTCAAGCTCCGTCTTCTTTATGGTGATAAGTATTGTGGCCTACCTGTTGCTACCAAAATTCCAATCTCTTCATGGCAAATGCTGCAACCTCTACTTCACCTGCCTGGCATTGACCTTTTTGCTGAATGTCGTTAGCATGTTCGGGATATTTAGTCCAGGGACTCACATCTGCTACCTCACCGGTAATCACCCAAGACTAATATTTAAGTGTATATAAATCAATAGATTAGATTTTCAGGTTACGCTGGCTACTTTACAGTGATGGCAACTTTTCTGTGGCTTTCCGCCATCAGTTTCGATGTTTGGAGGAGATTCTCCATGCGTCGGTTCCAGAATTTCTACAAGAACAACAGAAGCAGTTTTTTCAACTACAACGTTGTTGTTTGGAGCTCTGCTGGGCTTTTAACCTTAATAATTTTTTTGATAGATCAATTCACAGATACAGATCTAGATAATCCATACACTCCGGCTGTGGGAGTATTTTCATGCTGGATATACAGTAGGTTCAGCACAAAATCCAAATTTGATTATAATATTTGTAATATCATAGTATTGAAATATTAATTACTTTAGGCGATGGATGGTCAGCTATGTTTTATTTTTACTCTCCGTTGGCGATTTTGATAATTCTGAACGGTACGATGTTTTTCCTAACAACGCGGTACATTTATGTGGAGAACAGAAACAACCAGAAAGTGCTGAATAAGTGCGAACAGCAAAGAGAGTCAAGGAACCAAGCGAAGTACAAAGTAATATATTTTCCCTGATAAACAGTACTTACTACCCTGCTTCCAGCTATCGCATATATCTGCGCCTGTTTATCATAATGGGCGGAAGTTGGTTTCTCGAAATCATTGCCTTTGTATGCGAAATGGAGAATTTTCTGCAGCCCTTAGTCGCGTTAAACGATTATATAAACTGCAGTCAGGGAATGATAATATTTATGGCCACATTCTGCAATCAGGAAATGCTAAAGTCAATACGCAAGCGGTGAGTTTTCTGTGAAAATATATAGTATCATCGTCAACTTCCATTGTATTAACTCACTCCTTTCAGCATCCAGAACAGGGAAACTACTACCACTGATTACACCACTAACAGTCGCCCTCAATACTCTGAGAAATGTACCGCATAATTAGATAAATAAACGTTATTAGGTTACTGGGATGTCTTATATTTGCCATAAGTTGAGTCTGGCTAAACAATATCTTGAAATATATTTTAAATGTTTAATATTAGGTTGAAACATAGTTCCAAAGTTTGATTATAACTGTATATTTACCACTCGCCTGTTAAACGGGGGTTTCACTAACTAAATGGATACTTTAATTACTAGTACCGCAGTTCGAAATGAGTTTCTAACTAATATTATAGCTAATAGTTGAATCGAAGTCTCGAATATCAAAAGTATATTGTGTGTAAGTATGAGCAGGGCAGGGGAGTCGAGCTCCGTTCTTAAAACTAGATTGTAGATTACTTAAATGACTTCAGTCGAAATTAGGACGCGTTTCAACCTTTTGAAAAAGCGTTTCGTTGCACTAATTAAGGTAAAGGTAACTAAATACTAAATACAGCACACGTTGTTTGTGTTTAGAACTGAACTAGATGCACGCAACCTTAGCGAGTTTTACAAACTAATAAAACTGTTTTAATTAATGGTTTCCATTAGTATAAGAGCTGTCATATTTCAGAGTTCATTGTTACGAATATTTGTAACTTCGGGTTTATCATAAGGTGATTTAAGGTGATCAAATATTAAAATGTGTTGTTCAATACAATCGAAATTTGCCAGCTCTTATTGTAATGGAAGCAACCATTTTATCAACCAGTGTGTATACATATGTGGCCAGGAAACATTGTGCTCACAGCGTCTCCTGGTGTGTGCGTTTCAAGTGGAACTCCACCATGTTGTCGAGATCACTGATGTACATCTTGGATTTTCGGATATCTGAGTTGAGCACCCGTAGGTTCGAGGTGTAGTCGGGCAAGTTGAGGCCCACACCGACGGCCATTTCCTGGCCCATCTTCCTGGCCATCTGGGCAAACGTTAGTCGAGCCTTACCCAGCCGCTTTAGCGGGCTGAATTGCTCGGGCACCTCCTTTAGCTCGCCATAGTCGAGAACCTGCCACTGACCGCTCTCCATGTTCCACGTAAACAGTATGCGGCACTCGTACTGTCTGTTGTGGAACGGGCAGTCCATGCGTCCGGTGCAGTGCAAACAAATTGCCAGCGGCTGATCGCGCGCCGAGAACTGAGCCATTAGCGTGCAGCCGATCGTCTGACTCAGTGGACACACGTTGATCACCTCGTACGCCCAGTCGTAGAACACGTTGTAGATCTTCTGGTGTTTCTGGCACAGCAGGCTGATCACATAGTAAGTGAAGGTCTCCAGGTCGAAAGAATGCTGAGTGATTACAACGCTGCTACAGCGCAGCCGCTGATACGAGGCCTGTGAGATCATCTGCATCTCCGAGTAACAGGATCCATGCACTTCCATTGGCAGCGAGGTGTGGTAGCCTGGCGATATGCAATCGTCTGATGGGATGGAAGATTTTCTATTAATATGTTTAGTTTATTTATACAAGATTTAGCTTACCCTCTTCGCTGGTGATGACCGAGGTTGCATCGTCCTCCTCCACATAACGTCGTCTTAGCTTCTTGGTGCACACGGGTTTCTCAGGCATCACACCGCCCTGCACTGGCATCTCCACAATCCTAGGCTCATCGCGTCTTGGTGACAAAAAGGACAAACCGGCATTTGGAGACATGGAGCCACCTATTTCAAAACGCTTAGCCAACGACACTTGCAGTGGCGAGAGGGCTCCTAGCGGCCCCACTGGCTTATAGCTTAGCATTTGCTGCGTGGCCTGTGATAATGGCGGCGATTTTTGGTTGAAAATCTGAGCCGAGTTGGCATTGCGGCTGGGCGAACGCATCAGCATGGAACTGGAGGGTGGTGAACGAAATCCCAGATGCGGGGGCGTCTGCGCCGGCTGGGAGGGATGTGGCGATGAGGAGGGCGAGGCGCAGGGCGAGTTGTGAAAGAAGTGCGCCGTGGGTGAGAAGCGATGAAAGCTGCGAGCCGAGGAACTGGCGGTCGAGGCATTGAATGCACGTACCGCCAAGCGCACCTTGGTGAAAGGTATAATATTCTCAGAGTTGTCCTCCGAGAACTCGTACTTTTTCTCTGCCAAACGTCGTTTGCGGAAAGTAGAGATCTTTTCGTACTTTTCATTGTCTTCTGAGAACTCATAGGCATTTGATTTGTCCGTCATTGAGCTGGAACTGGGCGGGCTCTGGAAGATAATAGAATTCGATTTTGTTAAATAAAATCATATTTTTCTGTGGATATAATACCCACCTGTAAATCTATGGTAGTGATGCCGTTACGGAACTTGGTGACTATCCGCTGGTTGCGCCTCCGCGGCGGACTAGCTTCATTGGCAAGGGGCTTTGTGACCGGCAGTGTGGTCTCCGGCAGAGTCATGCTATTCAAACCCGTAACCACAGTGGGACTGCAGTGTGGTGTGAAAATTAGTTTTTCGTATGTCTTTGGCGAACAGCAGACATTGCCCCTGGACTGCATTTCATTATTGTTAATGCTATGGGTGCTACTGGGCTGGCTGGAGCGATGTGTTTGCTCGGTTTCAATGTCGCTAAAGTCGGCTATGATGCGGGCAACTACGCTTTGCTCATTTCCGGATTCCGCCTCCGATCCGGATGGTGTAAAGACCCCCGATGAGCGGTCCTCCTCGCTGGCCATAAGAGACCTAGGAAGTAAAAAGGATTGCGTTTGCGACTGCGGTTGCGCTTGAAGAGTGGGCAGGATAAGGTTCTGCTGGGAAAGGTAGTTGCTGCCCGAGGTCACGGCCTGCGTGTCTACATCGATGCGCAGCATGTGCATAAATCCATTGGAGATGATCAGAATACGCTCCGGGCAAAGCAGATTGATCTTCGGCTCGAATGCCGGATCCGTTTCAGTCGATGAGTATTTGGTGTGCACCGTTAAGTGGCAGTTCAGGCAGTGCGCATTGTAAAAGGAATCTAATGTATAGTAAATGTATATTTTATTGGTATCATAAAAAATGAATTTTATTCACTCACATGGACCATCGTCGTTGAGTTTCTTGCACTCCAAACAACCCAGTTTAGGAACTTTGACATATGTGATATAGCTATCTTCTCCCTCTTCCGTAGCAGCCCCATGAACAACTAGAATCTGGTGCTGCGTGTTCTTCCACTGCGTCATAGTTACAGTCTTTATATTATCCACCAAATGATCGTCAAAGAGGCGGCGCGAGAAAAAGTGGCGCAGTCTCTTGTGAGGTTGGAATAGCCAGAAGTACAGACTAGGGGGAAATTATAGATAAAATATTAATTCAATGTAATTAATAGTTCACGCTTTAAAGAGAGGTAATACTTATACTTTGGAATAAGAAAGGAAGGGTGTAAGATTAGATTTATTTTGATATGGAGGTAGTTCTTACGTGTACTTATAGCCCATGTTGAAGGAGTAGTGATTGAGTGAGGAGCTGTCATTGCACACCACCCGATGGCTGAGCATGTACTGGCCGCAAGCAGTGAGGCCCATGAATATGTGCCTGAAAGGATATACAGGTAAGAGATTGACTAGTTTATAAGAGGACTTCACTTACCCCTCCATCAAACTGCTGGCCAACACATCCTTGAGGTATAGCTTTAACCTATTTGGCACTCTGTCGTAAGGAAGCTGTTGCTTTTGGCCAGCCCTGGAGGAGCCTGAGAAGAATCCTGTGCGCTAAGGGGAGAATAGAATATAGTTGATAGGTACATGTTAATAGAGGTTAACTAAATGATTATATAAATAGACTTCAACCTCAATCAATGTTACTACATTTGAAACATATTAAAGTAATTTTAAAATACAACTAACTAAACACCTCACTTATGATAGTCTTGCGCATGTCTTTCGTAATTCCTTAAGCTCCTCCTACCTGTACATATATTTAATAATCTATACTATACCTATACTATATGTATCTTCGCACCCTCGAGTAATAATCAATCGCAATATCTTTCCGGGGTTTCCATAAAATTAAATGTACACAGACCTTGAACTGAAAAGCTGACCCCCTTAGTTAATGGGTTATAAAATAGCTGCTACTGACTGGTACGAGATACGACTATTAATACCAGGTGTGGGTAAAAAGTTTTCTCAATGGCAGACCCACCTCCCTGTCGTAGAGCATCTGCACCAGATTCCGTGTCCTTGGGACCGATGATGGCGTGGGAGTCGGCTCCTCCGAGGACTCATCGGAGCTGTCCACCGTAGAGAAGTCGTCCTCGTCGGAGGACACGCCCGACAGCGACTCTACGTAGTTCTGGTAGTCAGTCTCCATTTCCAGATCGCTTAAAATCAGACTTAATTTATTCCTCCTGCTGTCTCTGCCTCGTCTCCTGAAATCGGGCAGTGTTCCGGCCGAAAAGCGCTTATATCCTGCGTCCTAGCGCCTCCTCATCAGCTGGCAAGTGGCGCCAGTGGTGCTCATCGGACTCCGGATCCCTTTATCCACTGCCTGAAGTGGCCAAAATTACAACATCGTCGGTTTTTTGTTATAAATAAAATAAACCGAATTTTTGCAAAGCGAATAGATGTTAGCAGCGATGTTATCGATGCTTTCAAAACATCGGTAACATCGATCTTCCTCCACCTCTATTCCTGAAATCGAAGAGGCAGAAAGGAGAACTATCGACGAATCGGAATAATTGCGCGCCTTTTAAAATAGGAAGTAAATAGAACTATAGACGGGTGAGTAAACCTGTACTCACATATTCAGATAGTTAATAGGTAAAGTTATAGGGTAAAGGAAGGATTTCGGGCTTCGGTGGATTTTTGCAATGAAAGTTTTCCATACCGTAAGTATTTATAGCACCATTACCTTTTGCTAATTTTAAGGACAATTTACGAACATCGATGTTTCTTAACCTATAATAGGTAGTAGCTGGTCCAAAATATCAGTCGGAGTTATCGTTGAATCTAATCCTCCGGCTCTAAGATATAAGGGGTCACTCTAAAATGCCGGTACACAGGGTGACTTGGGCGCTGGTAATAAATCTGCTACACAGGGTGGGTGTAATAGCTAACTATCGATAATACAAAGGCGTTGGCGGCTGTTTAAAACATATGTCTAACGAATTTCTAGATTTTTTGATGGAGAAGGAGAATTAGAATATTTTAAAGTATCCACCAAATATATTTACATGTTAGGGGCAAATAATATTAAAATATGAATATTCTAGGGGAAGTACCGACAATTTTTCTTTTACTACTCTCTTTCAATAGTTAGCAAAGAAATCATATTAACAATAAAACTGATACATTCTGCTGGATCTTGGTTTTATAAATGTTTTTTGTTTATGTTGTTTTGCCTTGTAAAACTGGGTTGATGGAAAATAAAATAAGCTTTATAAAAACACTAAACAAAGCCGACAGCTGACCCAAAATCGTAATGCTCTAAAATCTGGCAACGTGACTACATGTTCATTGACCCTTGGACGTAATTGTGGGTCAATCCGTTTGCGGAAGCCACCGGAGGCCCCACCGTAACCCCCTTAAAACCGATCCAATAACCGATGCCGGGTTCAGTGCGCCGGGCTCTAGAAGCCGAACAAAGTGCAGCCACAAAGAACCGAGAAGCGGGCTTCACAATTTTTGGTAATTCGGCATAAAAATGTCGAGCATGCCAGCAAAACAGCAAGCCAATTGCAGGGCTCAGCGAATTTTGGCCATGGAAATTCGGGGCAGAACCTATAGACGATCCACGATCCACGATCGACCATCGAGCAGGAAACCTGATGCGCTGGCAGCGGCCATTGCACCGTGCTTATAAGAGCTGGATGGCCAACTCTCAGGTTTTAGTTCTGGAATAGTACGTGTCGCGGTTGGTAAATCGGTGTTCTCAGCCCCTTTGAGGATCCAGTGAAAATAATCAAATAACTTGTGCAATACTGCCTCGGAACTTTGATCGCGTCCTGAATTTATATCGAGTTATCTAAGGAAATAGTAGCCGTGATTTTACCCAAGAATTTTTCACATATCACAGTTGCTGTTTCTTTTAGATAGCTCTTTTGTAAGCAGCCTAGATCATCCGAGAGTCTTGAGTGCCTTGAGTGAGTCCTGGAAGAAAATTTCCCCCGGTTTCAGTTTATGGGATACACACAGTTCAGTTTTGTCACATTTCAAGCATCACTGGGCTTTGTTTATCTCATGAGAGCGAAATTTGTTCAACAGGGGTTCTTAAGTCACTAGCTTATGACGACGAAACCTCTACTCAGGGAAAAAACGTATATCCTGGATATATTTCAAAATTTAATCCTGATCAGGTATATTTTGGTAAGTAAAAATTGTTACTTTCTTAAACTAGGTTATGCAAATTTAAACCGAATTAATTTATGTTCTACATTTTGTTCCCAAATTGATAGACCTTTTTTGATTGGATACCAAGAATAAGGGCTTACTTTATTGGTTTGACCAGGTTGGGGAAGCACCACCACAAATTAAAATCTTAGGGTACTACAATTTACAGTGTAGAAATGCGATTGGAATATACAAATAAAAACAAAATGAAAAAGGATGCTTAGGACAGCATCTTGCGGATCATGTAGTTGAGGATGCCGCCATTCTTGTAGTAGGTGATGTCCACCTCGGTGTCGAAGCGCAGAACGGTCTCAAAGATGGTTCCATCGGCCTGAAAAAGTATAGTTAAGTATTATACCAAGAACCAGTAGTACAAGAACCCATTTAATTACCTCCACTTGGATCTTCTGACCCGGTTTCAAATCGCTCTCCGGCAGGGAAATGTTGTACACCTCCCGACCAGTCAGGTTCAGAGTTTCGGCACTCTGGCCCGGCAGGAACTGCAGGGGAATAATGCCCATGCCCACCAGGTTGGAGCGATGGATGCGCTCGTAGGACTCCGCGATTACAGCCTTCACGCCCAGCAGGAAGGGACCCTTGGCAGCCCAATCCCTGGAGCTGCCGCTGCCGTAATCCTTGCCCACCACAAGGACCAAGGGAGTGCCCTCCTCGCGGTACCGCTCAGCGGCATCGAAGATGTCCAGCTCCTCCTGGCTGGGAATGTGCACGGTGCGTGGCCCAGTCTTCGAGACCAGCTTATTGACCAACCGAATGTTGGCAAAGGTGCCGCGCGACATGATGGCATCGTTGCCACGGCGTGATCCATACGAGTTGAAGTCACGTGGCGTGATGTTCCTCTCCGAAAGGAATCGAGCGGCTGGCGATGTCCTGGCAATTGATCCAGCCGGCGAGATGTGGTCCGTGGTCACGGAATCGCCCAGGAAGAGCAGACAACGCGCGTTCTGGATGCTCTGCAGCTTGGGCAGATCACGGGTCATGCCCTCGAAGAAGGGTGGACGCTTGATGTAGGTGGAATCAGCGCTCCAGGAGAAGAGCTTGCCCTCGGACACCTCCAGGGTCTGCCAGTCCTGGGAACCCAGTTCGATCTTGCCTTGAAGAGGAAAAGACTTTAAAAATCACTTATGACAAAGAGACAACCGAAATACTCACTGTACACCTCCTGGAACATGGCGGGGATCACATGCTTGTTTTCCACCTCCTGGATCTCCGATCGCGTTGGCCAGATGTCCTGCAGGAATACATTCTTGCCATTGGCATCCACGCCCAGAGGTTCCTTCTCGAAGTCAATGTCCACACGTCCTGCAATCGCGTATGCGATGACCAACAGAGGACTGGCCAGATAGTTGGCCCTGGTATTGGGATGGATGCGACCCTCGAAGTTACGGTTTCCGGACAAGACTCCAGCGCAGACGAGTCCATTCTTCTCGATGGTGTTCACCACATTCTCCTCGAGGGGACCAGAGTTGCCAATGCAAGTCATGCAGCCATAGCCCACAATGTCGAAGCCCAGCTTCTCCAGATAGGGAATCACTCCAGACTCCTTCAAGTAATAGGTTACCACCCCAGATCCGGGAGACAGCGAGGTCTTGATGTAGGGCAAGATGTTAAGGCCCTTCTCCACGGCCTTTTTGGCCAGGAGACCTGCACCCAGCATAACCGAGGGATTCGAGGTGTTTGTGCAGGATGTGATGGCCGCAATGACCACCGATCCATGTTGCAGCTTGTAGGTCTTGCCATCATCCCACTGGAAGTCAGCAGTGGCCGATTGAGCCTCCGGGGCAATAGCAAAGCCCTTGAAACCCACCTAAGATAAGGAAAAAATCCATGTTTCATTGATATAGTCATTTCATTAAAATCAAATTTAAAACTTACTGGGTTGGACAGGCAGGACTTGAAATCCTCTGGCATATCGGAGACAGAAACGCGATCATGGGGACGCTTGGGACCCGAAACCGAGGTAACCACGGTGGCCAGATCCAAGGTGATGCTCTGTAAATTGTGACTTATTAATAAGAGGAACAGTTGGATGATTTTTTTACCAACCTGAGTGAACTTGGGATCCTGGGCCTCGTCAGCATAGTTACGCAGTTGCTGAGTTGCCTTCAGATACTCCCGAATAATGTCGATCTTCTTCTCAGAGCGATCTTAAATAGGTAATATAATAATAGTAAAAGGTAATACAGGAAATTAAAAAATATTTATCTTACTTGTCTGCTTCATGTAACCAAGGGTATTCTCATCAATGGGGAAATATCCAACAGTAGCTCCATATTCGGGACACATGTTACTGATGGTGGCCCTATCGGCAATGCTGAGTTCAGCCACTCCAGGGCCATAGAACTCCACGAACTTGCCCACCACTCCCAACTGACGAAGGTGCTTGGTGATGGTCAAGACCAGATCGGTGGAGGTGACCAGTGGTCTAAGTTTTCCGACCAATTTGTAGCCAATAACCTCGGGCAACAGCATGGAAATGGACTGTCCCAACATCACAGCTTCCGCCTCGATTCCTCCAACTCCCCAACCAAGAACTCCCAGTCCATTGATCATCGTGGTGTGCGAATCAGTGCCCACAACACTGTCGGGATACAGGATCTTGGATCCATCGGTGGTGTCGTTTTCGAATACCACGCGGGCCAAGTATTCCAGATTCACCTGGTGGACAATTCCAGAGCCAGGTGGCACGATCAGCATGTTGTTGAAGGCCTTGGCTCCCCACTATTAAGGAAAAAGTAACATTGAGAAAGAGCTGGAGTAGATTAACTAAGGTAACCTACCTTCAGGAAGGTGAACCGCTCCTTGTTGCGCTCAAACTCTAAAGTCTGGTTCTTGGTCAGAGCATCGGGAGTACGGGCAAAGTCCACCTGGACCGAGTGATCGATGACCAAATCCGCAGGGCAGATAGGATTGATTTTCTCGGGATCGCCGCCCAGATCCAAGACAGCATCGCGCATAGCAGCAAAGTCCACCACGGCAGGCACTCCAGTGAAATCCTGAAATTATATTAATGTAAATGGGTGTTCTCTAAATAAAAGTTATGTAAGCTCACCTGCAGGATCACACGGGCTGGCTTGAAGGACACCTCCACATCGTTGGATCCCTGCTTGAGGGCTGGTGACCATCCAAGGATGCTCTGCACATCCTTCTCTAGGATATGGAAGTTGTCGCAGTTGCGCACCGCCGACTCCAAAAGCACTCGGATCGAGTAGGGCAGCTGATCTAAAAGTGGGAAATTTTAAGTGTTAATCAAAAAGTTGAGAGCTTCAATTATATCACAACTACAGTAGTACCTGTTCTGACACTTAAAAAAACCCAGACTATCTTTACTACTAAAAATAAAAATATAACTTTCTCATTATTTATGTAGTTTAAATCACTTGAAGTCAATGGAAATATATATCGACAAGGTTACTTTAAACTAAGATAAGAGCTCATTTTGGCAAATCACGATTTTGTTAACACATTTCAATTTCCTAGATTAAAGTTAAGCCGCTTTTTTAATAATTATATTTCGCATTTTAAGCTAGATGAACTTAATGACAGTCCTACTTCCAATGAAATAAGTGGTAATACTTAAAACAGCTGTCTTAAAGTCGAATTTTATTGGCACATCTGCACCAAAATATTGGAAATTTCAAAACACTTGTTTTAATTTTCTCAAAATACTTCAACTGTGAAAAAATCCCATTAACATTATAACTATAAACACTTTCCTTCTTAAGGAGTTTCTATAGTAAATGACATAGGGGTACCTGTTATCAGGGTACAATGATTGCGTTTGCCCACCACTCGATGCGACAGATAGGAGGTCCTATGTAGTAGCCAATAAAAGAAAGCCCTCACCTCGGACCCCCGATTTTTTGACACGCGCACTCCAGTGAAAACATTCCATTGGTCTGGAGATATTTTGGAAGCATCGACCTATGACCCTAAGCAGCAGATTTGTGTAGTTTTATTTCGCTGATAAGTTGGCACATTGAGTACA